TTTGGAGGATAAGCTGACCCACTCTTCTGTGTGACAGCCCCTTACATACTAGAAGACTGCTATCTTCCATTAGTTTTTTTTTTTTTTTAGGTACCAATTACTGTCGCCCTGCCTGTTTAACTTATATGCAGAGCACATCATGAGAAAGGCAGGGTTAGATGAATCAAAAGTTGGAATTAAGATTGCCGGGAGAAATATCAACAACCTAAGACATGCAGATGATACCACTCTGATGGCAGAAAGTGAAGAGGAACTAAAGAGCCTCTTGATGCGGGTGAAGGAGGAGAGTGCAAAAGTTGGCTTGAAACTCAACATTAAGAAAACCAAAATCATGACATCCGGCCCTCTCAATTCCTGGCAAATAGATGGGGAAGAAATGGAAGTAGTGACAGATTTTATTTTTCTGGGCTCCAAGATCACCTCAGGTGGGGACTGCAGCCAAGAAATTAAAAGACGCTTGCTCCTGGGGAGGAAAGCTATGGCAAATCTAGACAGCATTCTAAAAAGCAGAGACATCACCCTGCCAACAAAAGTGCGTATAGTCCAGGCCATGGTTTTCCCAGTTGCAATGTATGGCTGTGAAAGTTGGACCATAAGAAAGGCTGAGCGCAAAAAAATTGAGGCCTTTGAACTATGGTGCTGGAGAAGACTCCTGCGAGTCCCTTGGACTGCAAGGCGTTCAAACCGGTCAGTCCTAGAGGAGATCAACCCCGACTGCTCTTTAGAAGGCCAGATCCTGAAGTTGAAACTCAAGTACTTTGGCCACCTAATGAGAAGGAAGGATTCACTGGAGAAGAGCCTAATGCTGGGAAAGATTGAGGGCAATAGAAGAAGGGGACGACAGAGAATGAGATGGCTGGATGGAGTCACTGAAGCAGTAGGTGTGAGCTTAAATGGACTCCAGAAGATGGTAGAGGACAGGAAGACCTGGAGGAACGTGGTCCATGGGGTCGCGATGGGTCGGACACGACTTCGCAATTAACAACAACAACAACCAATTAGTTTCTACAGAGTCTAGAAAGAGACACACAGGAAGAGCTGTTTACATTAGAAAAGCTGCTTTTCAAATCTTTTATGGGAATGCACTAGTGGCAGCTCATGTCTTATGTTCCTGTCTCATGCCTGCCTGCAGGTTAGATTATACAATGGCCCTTTCTGTTCTCTCATTTCCCACTACCTGCTTTGCTCACTTCAACCTTGACAGCCTAGGTAATTAATGGCAAGGCAGAATGCAGGAATCATTAAAGAGAGAATACAGAAATGTTTGCCAAATGCCTTTCTCAAAGCCTCTTTTCTCCCAGCTTAAGCTGAAGGATGATCAAGGGTTTTGTTCGAGTTCTCTCATTATGCAAACTGATGCGATCCAACTTTCTCAATCTATGCTCAGACCGAGATCCAATTTTGTACTTCAAATGTGGCAAAGCAATCCGTAACACTAAAAATGCTCCAATTAAAATGCCTGCTTTTTGAAATGTGTTCAGATTCAAAAATAATTGATTTTACATCCATGTTCTCTCTCTCTCTCTCTCTCTCTCACACACACACACACACACACACACACACACACAGAGAGAGAGAGAGAGAGAGAGAGAGAGAGAGAGAGAGAGAGAGAGAGAGAGAACATGGATGTAAAATCAATTATTTTTGAACAGAGAGAGTTTGATGCAGGAGTGCAGATAGAGTACAGCCCCTGTATCTGCATATAAATTTAATACAGACATGAAAAATCCACATTTTTTAATTTTTACATTTATTAGATTTTTTTTATCCTACAGTTATTACTTTTATAAGTCACTTGATGCAGTAAACATATATCACCCTCCTTCCTCTTCCTATTTTCCTGAGAAAACAACCCCTTGAGGTGGGTTGGGCTAAGAAACAGAGTGACTGGCCCAAAATCACCCAGCTGGCAATCATGATTGGTGGGACTAGAACTCACAGTCATTTGGTTTCTAAGGCAGCATCTTAACCATTACACCAAACTGGCTTTCATATGATATACAGGTAGTCCTCGACTTATGACCACAATTGAACCCAACATTTCTGTCGCTAAGTGAGACATTTTAAAAGTGTGTTTTACCTCTTTTTCTTGCCAGAGTTTTTAAGTGAATCACTGCGGTTGTTAAGTTAGTAACACAGCTGTTAAGAAAATCTAGCTTCCCCATTGACTTTGCTTGTCAGGAAGTTTGCAAAAGGGGATCACAGGAGCCCCGGTCACTGCAACTGTCATAAATATGAGTCAATTGCCAAGCATCTGAATTTTGAGCACGTGGACCATGGGGATGCTGCAATGGCCATAAGTATAAAAAATGGTCATAAATCAGTTTTTTAAATGGAGTTGTAACTTCAAACAGCCACTAAATGAACTGTTGTAATGCAGGGGTCCTCAAACTTGGCCCCGTTAAGACTTGTGGCTGGCTGGGGAATTCTGGGAATTGAAGTCCACAAGTCTTAACGTGGCCAAGTTTGAGGACTCCTGCTCTAATGGATCATATACTGCAGAAACACTCTGTTTCATAGAAGACCCAGGGGTACACACTGCTCGTGTATGTTGCCAGAAACATACCCAATTGAAAAAATTGGATTTTGAGGGCCAAGGATATTTCAGAAGTAAGAAGCCATATGCAGTATATTCCAGGATTGCAGCATGGGACAAAGTGTTTAACACTTCCTATTATGTCTTATAATCAGTGTGCATATCCTACAGTTATTCCAACTGTGTATTATAGAACCCAAAGGAATGCTAGCTGGGTACTCAATGTGCAATTTAGTGGTCCGACACAGCAGGTGGCAACATCTGGTTGACCTTCACTGGCTCTCATAAAACTAAGCTGAGTTAGATAATAGATTATGGGGAAATCCCAAGGCCCGTTGCTAAGAAAACAACATAGATTGGTCCAAGAAGCTGCCACGGTCAAAGGAACTTTTTCCTTTCCTTTGATGCTTAGAAAGCAGATGTCTTGTGTAAAGTCATTTCTAAGGCAGAGGTTGCATTCATTGAAGACTTTAAACCAAGAATTATTAAATATTAAATCACAGGCCACACAAGTAATAGATTAGTGCTGACTTCAACCATCCAGTTTTTTGGTTCATTTTTCACCCCTGTATTTGTAAACCATGGTGAACATTTGATCACGCATAATCCTCAATTTTGGGGCAGTGGGATTCCCCCAGCCTCCTTCTAGCATCTATACTCGAAGCTAGTCTACAAAATTGAAGAAAATACTGCACTATTTTTCTAAAAGAACTCTAGAATACTATAGAGACTTTTAGGCTGGATTCACTTAACTTTAGACTAGAAAAAAATAGATCTGGATATGTTATATGCATAGCATGAATCCGTTATCTTAATATATTAGGTGGATCAGCCTATTAAGCCATGATACGTTTTATTTGTTTTAACCATGCTATGCTACAGAAATACAGAAATTATTTTTTTGTTAATTTGAGTCTCAGGTTTAGCAGACTGCATGAACCCAGTTAAATTATGGGCAAATATTTGAGGTCTTCCTTTTACCCTGTTGGAAATAAAACATTGACTTGCTAACATTTGGAAGGCTTCAACAGATTTTTAAAAATCATCCTCCTAGCTTTGCCTCCTGTGTTCGTAACAGGTTGCTTTGCCTTCCTTCCTTTCATCATGGATATCACTTGTAAATTATGTCACCTTGGGCAGCTCCACAATTTCCTTCCGAAAATTAATTAGGAGCTGTTCTGATAATTGGATTAACATAAAACTACATGGGAGAGAAAAAGCAAGAAAGGTAGAAACTATTAGCATAAATCAAATATAGCAGTGTTGCAGTGTTTTGGCAGCAATGGGGGGGAATCAAGATGGTATTCACCATGCAGAGTCCTGACTCTTTTGTGCCTTTGAATGTGTGGCTGTGGATGCTATCTTGCTCTTAGTACAGAGGTCTTCAAACTTGGCTCTTTCATGACTTGTGGACTTCAACTCCCAGAATTCCTCAGCCAGGCACACTGGCTGAGGAATTCTGGGAGTTGAAGTCCACAAGTCATAAAAGGGCCAAGTATGAAGACCCCTGTCTTAGTAGAACATCTGGCTCTTTACCCAGATTTGGTTGTCTTGAAATAAGTCATGGATATGGAAAATAGTTTCTGAAGATTTACTGATTTTTCATTAGTCCTTGGGAAAGCTACATTTTCCTGGAGTTCCTTGGAGCAGCATTTCAAATAGCAGAGAAATGGAACATGGGAAATTACTTCTAACTAATGCCAGGTCAAACTGGAGCCATGTCAGTCAGAAAATCCTTTTGTCTGTGAAAACAAATAACATTTTCTTCTGATTGGTTCAGAATAACAGAATGGCAGAGTTGGAAGGGACCTTGGAGGTGATGTAGTCCAACACCCTGCTCCAGGCGGAGGCCCTATATCATTTCAGACAAATAGTTGTCCAATCTCTTTTTAAAAACCTCCAGTGATGGAGCATTCACAACTTCTGGAGGCAAGTTGTTCCACTGGTTTATTATTCTCACTGTGAGGAAATTTCTCCATAATTCTAAGTTGCTTCTCTCCTTGGTTGATATCCATTGCTTCTTGTCCTGCCTTCAGGTGCTTTGGAGAACAGTTGACCCCCTCTTCTTTCTAGTAACCCCTTAGATATTGGAACACTACTATCATGTCACACCTTAGTCCTTCTTTTCATTAAACTAGACATGGCCAATTCCTGCAACCATTCCTCATATGTTTCTCATATGGAGAAACCAAATCCTACTAAAAATTAGAAGTGAAGAGAAAAAGAGAACTCAAACTACCTTTCAGGCAACTTCTCATCATTTAAGAAAATGGACTAATCTGTGCTTCAAGCATGGGCAAAGTTTCCACCACTGCCCATGCAGTGTGGTTTACTACAAGGATGGGGAGACCTGAATGATGATGGTGATGATACAATAATGGGCTACTTGTTGTCATAGTGATGATTCAAATTGTGATGAGATAACATCTTCAACTGACCTCTGATCATTCCAGAAGGAGATGGAGATGGCCTAACAATGGGAAGCTGACTAAGGACCTATTGGGGGTGGGGATGAGGATCTTTTTAAAAAGAAGCTTCTGGGAAGTCAATAGGAAAATAGGCTGGTTTCCTTTGCCACACCATTCCTGAATTCTGATTATAATTCAGATGGTAAGCCTTTAAAGGTTTAGTATCATTCCTTGCTTAATAGACATGAAAATGAAACAGAACAATTTTGGAAAACAATGCTTTCCTTCTGTTTGTTACCTTTGAAGAACTGAAGGTAGGTGAGTAAATGAATAAATCATATTAATTAGCCTCCAAACAACTGATCCTCCCCACAACAACGATGACAAGGAATCTGGGGGCTACATCATAACATGAATAGATAAGGAAATTACGTATATTTAGCCTAATGAAGAGACGTTTTAGGGGAGACATGATAGCATCTTCCAATACTTGAGGGGTTGTCTTAGAGAAAAGGGTTTATTCTCCATAGCACTTGAGGGTAAGTCAAGAAGCAGTGGGTGAAAGGTCATCAGAAGAAAATTCAACCTGGAAATAAGGAGGAATAACAATTAATCAACAGAACAGTTTGCTTCCTAAAGCTAGGGGTGCTCCATCACTGGAAATTTTCAAGAAATGATTAGACAACCATTATTCTGGAAAACATCTTGGGCAGGAGATTGGACTAGAAGACTTCCAAGGTCCCTTCCAATTCTGATGTTCTTTGAAATAGTGTAGCAGAAAAAGAAAAGGGTATTATAGGATAGGGTTGTTTTTTTCTCTAGCTACAATTTTAATTAGAGATTTTAAAAGAATGATAAAATCAAACTATTTGATGGTTCTTTAGAGGCCACCGAATCCAACTCTTGGGTCAGTGTGGGATCCACTTCCCTCCCTGACAAATGACTTTCCAGCTCTGTTTAAAAACCTTTAGTGAAGGAGAACTTCATGGAATAGTCTGTTCCACTGGCTGAAGCTCATATGTTCAGAAAGTTTCTTCTGATATCTAGTCTGAATTTCCTTCCTTACACTTTTAATACCATTAACCCATTGGTTATTCTTCCACTTTCTGGAATAATTGACAGTAAGTCAATTAAGACTACTACAGGTGGTCCTTGCTGACTGAGTTCCCAAAAGCTCCTTATGGGCCAGTTCTGGAGTTAACCACAATTTATGACACTTTTTGCTGGTTTATGGCCTTTGGGGTCAGTTTCCAGCAAAAAAAAAAAAAAAAAAAAACATCCATAGGAATACTCTGACTCACTTAATATCCATGGCATTAGCTTAATGACTACTACAAACAAAATTGTAAAATTAGGTCTGGTTATATGAGTGCCTCATCTCACAATCATCTAAACATACAATGGAAATCCAGGGCTTTGTTACAGTCATAAATTGAGGACTACCAATACTTCTTCAGATACTTGAAGAATTCTATCCTCTCACTTCTAATCTCTAAGCTTTTCCAGATCTTTTCATTGTTCCTTGGTTTGCAAGACCCACAATTTTCTGGTACCCGTGCATTGGATTTTTTCCAATTTTTGAATGATGATATCCAAAACTGGACAAACAGGGCCAGGCCAGGACAAAGTAGACAGCAATTTCCTGTGCTCTGGATGCTATGTTCCTACTAATGCTCCCCAAGATAGCATTTGCTATTTTAGAGAAATAATCCCCCCCCCCCAAAAAAAGTCAAGGATCATATATTTTTATGTTTAAGGTGAGGAATGTTAACCTGGGAGGATCACATATTTCACATGAGAATTAAAAGTAGGTGCTGACACCTTCCAGATCCTGATACAAAGCCACTCATTCTGAGGTGAGAATGGCACCTTTTAGATTAACGAGGTATTTTCCCCACTTAGAGGAAGCATTGCCTGAAGAGTTAATGGAAAGCTGGAGAGATTACAGAACTTAGCATTCAGCATATGGTTTTGTCTGAAGTCTGATTTGCACTTTATTAAAAGTGGCACCAGCAGTCAGTTCCACAGAGGCAAACAGCTGAGCTAAACTGAACATTTCTATACACAGTGGTGGATCTGGGGACTAATTAAATCTCCTGCCTTTCTCTCACACAGTTCTCAGTCATGGAACATCAGTTACCAAATATTGTGTCAGAAAAGTGGAATAACACTGCCTGAACATTCAACAGGCAGCAACTAGAACCAGCTCTGCAACATTAGCTGGTTCCCCCCACCCCCACCAGCCCTGAATTATTTCTAAAGAATATAATGTTCTTGCACAGAGAGAACAGATAGGCCTCGACTTCAGACCACAATTAAGCCCCCAAATTTCCATTGCTAAGCAAGACAGTTATTGAACGAGTTGTGTGCCCTATTACAACCTTTCTGACGCAGCTGTTAAGTGAATCATGTGTTTGTTAAGTGAATTATAGTTTCCCCCATTGACTTTGCTTGTTGGAAGCTAGTTAGAAATGATGGTTGCAAGACCCCGGGACTTTGCAACTGTCATTAATACATGCAGTTGCCAAGCGCCCAAATTTTGATCACATGACCATGGGGATGTTGAAATGGTTATAAGTGTCAAAACATAAGTATCAGTTTTCGATCACTTTTTTTCAGGGCTATTGTAACGATGAACAGTCACTAAAAAAAGGGTCGTAAGTTTTTGCAGCTGATTTTTTTTGTCAACAACACCAGTGCCTGCTTCTTTTGTAATGATTTTTATTTTAATTTTTTTGCATATGTATACTCAAACAATAATTGAGAAAAACCTATGTACAGGTAGTCCTTGACTTACAACAGTTCATTGAGTGACCATTCAAAGTTACAATGGCACTGAAAAAAAGTGACTTATGACCAGTTTTCGCACTTACAACCATTGCAGCATCCCCACGGTCATGTGAACAAAATTCAGATGTTTGGCGACTGACTCATATTTCTGACAGTTGCAGTGTCCTGGGGTCACGTGATCACCTTTTGCAGCCTTTTGACAAGCTAAATTTATGGGGAAGCCAGATTCACTTAACAACCGTGTTACTAACTTAACAACAGCACTTAACTTCACTTAGCAACTGTGGCAAGAAAACTCACTTACCAAATGTCTCGCTTAGCAACATAAATGTTGGGCTCAACTGTGGTCGTAACTCAAGAGCTACCTGTATGCACTTTCCCAGTATTTTTTTACTCCACATTCTACCCTCTTCACCCACTCCACCCCCCCTTCTACTCAGGTACTTGTCAGAACAAAATCAAGGGTTGTTTAGTGTCAGTCTACTTACGAAGGGTAGAACTTTGTTGTCATTACATTGACCATCCGTCAGGCAAGAGCCTGATCATAACCAGCAGCTTCTACCTCAACCCAGATGGTCACTGCCAAAGATCATATAATATACTATACAATCATCCACTAACCCAATCAGCATTCCTTAACATTAGATCTAGCAGCATCCAATCGAACAGGGTCAAGAGTTCCCTATTTCCGAAGGTACTGATATTCCATAGCTCCTTGCGTTAGAAATTTATTGCTAAGAATCCATTTGCTTTGTGCTTGGAGAATTAATTTCCGGCATGTATGATCAGGTCCATACGTGAAGGTTCAATTAAACTATTTATTGCTAATCATGTCTATGCTCAGGTGTCATCTTAACTAATGGTTAACACCTGCTTGGAGGTAAATAAGGGTCAATGGAATTCAAGCGTGGATTGACTTAATTCGCTTGTGGCTACATAGGGATTCTAGGCTCATCCCTCTTTTAACTCTGCCCCCAGATTCTGTCACTCCTTCTCTTACAATTGACTTCCAGAAAACTGCCAGGACATCCACAAAACTGCTGGCTCAGCATGGTCTCTGGTTGGAATGGAACCTCTAGAGCAGTGTCTCTCAACCTTGAGCCTTTTAAGATGGGTGGCTCTGCATGCTGGCTAGGGAATTCTGGGAGTTGAAGTCTACCCATCTTAAAAGGGCTACGGTTGAGAAACACTGCTGTAGAGTTCTCCAGAATGACCAATTTCCAAAATGTTAGACGATGCACATCGCTAATCTTTAGGCTAGTCACCATCTCAAGAGCATTCTTTCTGACATGCTCAGGTTTGTTACATTTGCATGTTTAATTTCCAAAAGCAGAAATGAAAAAGAGTATTGTGGATGAAGGAATAAGATAAATCATATTTTATAGTTGGTAGTCACAGAAACGGTGAGTCATATAAGGACTCGGAAAATGTTGCAGCTGTTGACATTTGAGATACATGATAAAATATACGGTACTAGTATAAATACATCATAATAGAATCTCACTCAACTTAGAGCCTTTGGGCATGCTGGCTTGGAATTTGAAGAGGAATTATTCCACATAACTGGAGGGCACTAGACTGAAGAAAGTTGGAATGAGATAGTATCAGGTCTCATGTAACGCATGCCTTGGCTATCAACAGCCTTGTCTCTCCCTTCCTCCCAGACATTCAGAAGAGAATTCACACTCCTATGAGCAAATTTGAAAAACGAGAATGAAATTCTCACATGTCTGATCTACTGGATGCTGGTTACTACTGATAAACCCTTGGAGGAAGACAAATGGAGGTATGTTACACAAAGAAGAAAACACAATATCAAAGAAAGAAGCAGCATACAATTAACAAACCTCTTCTGCCCAACCCAACCCAACCAGAAGCAGCCCCACTAAAACTGAGCAATCAATTTCTTTCCCTAGATGGAAACAAGCAGACCCACAACCTTCCCCTCAAAAAAAAACATGCAGACACCTAGCAAGGAAACAACTTCAAATATCCCTAAAAGAATCACCTCAAACATCCCTTAAAAAGTCACATCAAAAACACACCACAGATAAACAGAAAAGCGCCCAGACTGCAGAAGGCGAGTGTTGGTAATAGGAGATTCTATCTTCAAAGGAACAGAATTATCCATCTGCAGACTGGACATACAATCCAGGGAGATATGTTGTCTCCCTGGAGCAAAAATAAAAGATGTGGCTGAGAACCTAATCAAAATAATTAGGCCTACAGGTTACTACCCCTTCCTCTTCCTCCACATTGGGAAAAATGACACAACAAAGAACCTAAGTACAATACTGAGTGACTACAAACTACTAGGCAATAAAGTTAAGAAGCTAGGAGCACAAGTAGTGTACTCATCAGTTCTCCCAATGAAAGGCCAACACCCATTGGGGAAAAAAGAATTCTAGAAATAAACCACTGGCTAAAGGGTTGGTGTTGCCAAGAAAACTTTGGTTTCTTGGATCACGGACTGTATTTCCTTTGCGAAGGACTCTTGGCAAGGGATGGGCTGCACCTCACGAAAACAGGCAAAAATGTACTCAGAAAAGGACTGGCCCAACTCATCAGGAGGCCTTTAAACTAAAATTGAGGGGGAACGATGACCATTCTTCAGAATCTCTAGAATCCAAAACCAATCATAAATCCCAAGAAAACAAATCAAACAATGAGGTGGGCAGAGATGAAAAAAAGAAAAGCTCAAACAATATTCAGGAGGTGCAGGAAACATAACCACAAACAGGCATAAAAGCCTTAAATGCTTATATACAAATGCTCAAAGATTGGGGGACAAACAGGATGAACTAGAAGCAATAGTACACGAGGGAGGGTATGACATAGTTGGTATTACAGAAACCTGATGGGATGAAACCCATGAGTGGAATGGACTGATGGATGGATACAAATTGTTCAAAAGAAACAGGTCTACCAAAAGAGGAGGGAGAGAACACTATATATCTACAAAAATGTACAGGATCAAAGATAAAATTTCTCCAGAATGCATATGGTTCAATATAAAAGAGAAAAAAAGTGACATTACCATAGGTGTATATTACAGGTCACCCAGCCAATCAGAAGAAATAGATGAACTCTTTGCCAACCAGTTAACAAATATATATAGGAAGCATACCACAATAATAATAAGTAGTAAACTATCCAGATATCAACTGGGAGACAAACTCTGCAATGAGCGGAAGATCAAACAAATTCCTAACCAACCTAGCTGACAACTTTGTCATCCAAAAGGTGGAGGAGGGAACTAGATGTAAAGCCATACTGGACTTAATTCTAACTAATAGAGAAGAAGTGTTAGAGCAGTGGTTCTCAACCTTTTTAATGCCGCAACCCCCAACTGGTTGTAAGTCGAGGACTACTCAACTGGTGCAGCACCGTTTGCAGAATGGGACTTTTGGCAGGCTAAGCAGGGCAGAGACAGCCTGGACAATTCCTATTGGCTTTTGAAAGCCAATAGAATTAGACTCTATTCAAGAGAGTCTATTCTATTGGCTTTCAAAAGCCAATAGAATAAAAGGGAGTAGCACAGCTAAGGAAAAGGGGAAAAAATGGCGGACTGCGTTGCTTGGCGACCCCCATGAAATGGTCGTTCGACCCCAAATGGGGTCCCGACCCACAGGTTGAGAACCACTGTGTTAGAGGGAGTTGAAGTTGCCAGAACCTTGGGTGTAAGTGATCACGTCATACTGGAATTAAATATAACACAAACACTAGCAACAGAAAACAATCCAACTAGTGTCTTGAACTTCAAAAGAGCTGACTTTAACAAACTCAGAGAGAACCTAGGAAAGATCCCATGGATGAAAATCCTAAAGGGGAAAACAACCCAAGAAGTGTGGGAAACTCTGAAAAATGTAATCATAAAAGCCCAGACCAACACAATAACATTCAAAAAGAAAAACAAGAAATTCAAGAAGAAACCAGCATGACTGCACAAAGATCTCTCTGACAAACTGAAAAACAAAAAAGGATAAATACAAAAAATGGAAAGAGGGGCACATAACTAAGGCTGATTATCAGCAGACAGCCTGAACATGTAAAGATGAAGTCAAGAAAGCAAAGCTCAGAACAAAGACTTGCAACAGAAATCATGGATAATAAAAAAAGTTTCTTCCAACATATTAACAACAAGAAAAAAATCAAGGAAACTGTAGGTCCACTAAAGAGAGAAGATGACAAGGAAATAACAGACAACAGGGAGAAAGCAGAGCTGCTTAACTCATACTTTACATCAGTCTTTACACAAAAAGAAACCATAGCCCAACATTTATAAAAAAAAAACCACTGCAAAAGACAAATTAGAAACAAAAATTAAAATAAGCAAGAAAATGGTAATAGAACATCTATCCCACCTTGACAAATACAAATCACTGGGGCCTGACAGATTACATCCCAGAGTTCTGAAGGAGCTGGCAGATGTTATCTCAGAACCACTGCACCACATCTTTCAAAAATCCTGGAGCTCAGGGGAAATGCCTGAGGATTGGAAAAGGGATGATTTGGTTCCTATCTTCAAGAAAGAGGAAAAAAAATGGACTCAGGAAACTACAGACCAATCAGTTTAACATCAATACCTGGGAAGATCCTAGAAAAGATAATCAAAAAACAGATCTGTGAAGACCTAGAAACAAATAAAGTTACCGTATTTTTCTGTGTATAAGACGCTATTTTTTCCTGCAAACATCCTGTTCAAAAATGAGGTGCAGCGTCTTATACACAAATGCAACATCTTATACACAAAAAAATAATGGTAACCTCCACAGCCCAGGGCATGCATGTGGGTTCTTTACATGCCGATACCATGCCGCCTGGTGCAGGTGTCAAACCCGTGTGGGCTTGCCACTGATAGGAGGGGGGAGGGGGCAAGATCATCGGATGATGGTGTCCAGAGGCAGCAGATGGGACCAGCAACATGGATGGCAGCAACAGCCCTTTCCCTCCCTCGTACCTGTATGCTGGCCAGGGACCCTGTGGAACACAGCTGTGAGGCCGCCTGCTCGATAATAGTGGCCAGCCAAACTTCCAGATTTGCCGGCTCAGCTGTTTGGTGCTCCACTGAACAACTGATCGGTGCGGAGAAACGGCAGAGAGTTTAAAACCTGCCTTCGCTTCCCTTGCCTTGCTGTCATGCCGGTGTTCATGCCGGTTTGTTTACCAGGGTCGGAAGGCTGCTGCTGTGAACTGACTATGCATGCTCATTGTGCTGGATGCTGGTTAGGTGGGGGGGGGGGGCAGCCGGAAGGCATCTACAGTATTTAGAGCACTGGGAGGTGGTTGCTCCCAATGCTGACTTTGTTTGCTGTAAGCTTGGAACTCGCATGCCAGAGTGTCTTATATAAGGGTGTGTCTTATACATGGAAAAATATGGTGTAACTGGTAGCCAGCACAGGTTTATTAAAATCAAATCATGCCAAACCAATCTTATTTCATACATTGCTTACTGGTGTACACCGCTTAGAGAGTGCTTGCACTTAAAGCGGTATATAAGTCTCATAAATAAATAAATAAATAAACTAATAGATCAGTGAAATACTGTGGATGTAGTATACTTAGACTTCAGTAAAGCATTTGATAAAGTAGACCACAACCTACTTCTTGGTAAGCTAGAAAAAGATGGAATAAACAACAACAACACCAGATGGATCTGTAACTGGCTGGCAAACCATACTCAGAGAGTAGTCCTCAATGGCACTACATCCACATGTAGAGAAATAAGCAGTGGGGTACCACAAGGTTCTGTCCTAGGCCCAGTACTCTTTAATATCTTCATCAATGACTTAGATGAGGGAATTGAAGAGGAACTCATCAAATTTGCAGAGTAGCCCACACCCCAGAAGACAAACTCAGGATCCAAAAAGATATTGACAAACTTGAACAATGAACCCTATCCAACAAAATGAATTTCAATGTGGAGAAAAGCAAAGTTTTACACTTAGGCAGGAAAATCAAAGGTACAAGTACAGATTGGGCAAGACCTGGCTTAAAAACAGTAACTGTGAGAGGGACCTTGAAGTCCTAGTGGATGATCACTTAACCATGAGCCAGCAGTGTGCAGCAGCAGCCCAAAAAGCTAACACAGTGCTGGGATGTATAAATAGAGGCATAGAATCAAGTGAGGTATTAGTACCACTTTATAAAACCCTAGTTAGACCACACCTGGAATACTGCAGCCAATTTTGGTCAACATATTATAAAAAAAATGTTGACAGTTTGGGAAAAAATTCAGAAAAGAGCAACTAAGATGATCAAAGGCTTGGAGACTAAAACATACGAAGAATGGCTGTGGGACTTGGATTTGGCTAGTCTAAAGAAAAGAAGAAAAAGAAGAGACATGATAGCAGTATTCCAGTATTTGAGATGCTGCTACAAAGAAGGGGGGGTCACGTTATTCACCAAAGCATCAGAGCGCAGGACAAGAAACAATGGTTGGAAACTGATCAAAGAGAGAAGCAACCTGGAATTAAGGAGAAACTTCCTGACTGTGAGGACAATTAACCAGTGGAATCGCTTGCCCCCAGAAATCGTGGGTGCTCTGTCACTGGAGATTTTTAAAAAAAAGCTAGACAGTCACTTGTCTGAGGTGGTTTAGGACGGTTCTCCTGCTTGAGCAGGGGGCTGGACTAGAAGACCTCCAAGGTCCCTTCCAGCTCTATTCTATTCTATTCTATTCTATTCTATTCTATTCTATTCTATTCTATTCTATTCTATTCTAAAGAAAACCATATTTAAAAGCAAAAATGGCTTTCTCCAAGAAGCCCTTTTCTGTTTTCATGT